TCATAATCGCATGTAACATAAAAAAAACAATTAGCATATCATAATCGCATGTAACATACAAAGATCAACATACCTCTGTTAACATTTCCCACACCGCATCGGTATGAGTACTCAACAAGGAAATATTATTCAGCAATACAAAAATTTTGTCTTCAACCTATACAATAATAGGGATATTTCAGGAGGAAAGTTTGCTCACTTTAAGAAGAGGGGAAGGTCACTATCTCTGAACAAATCAACAGCTCACCTTAGATATTGTAAGTAATGTTTCATTCCAAAGTAGGAGAGAGTTCTCTCTTTAAGGTCATTATTTAATGAAGAGAATATGCACCCAGAGACATAAATAAATCGAGTTTTAAAAGCAACAAAAAAAAAAGAAACACTTGAACATATATATAAACTTCTATTTACCCATAAGGGGTTAGCTGAGGGCCCCTCAAAAAGGTTGAGATCCTTGCACATAAAATTCGAGAACAAAGAAAAGATGTAACAAAATAATCACTTGCAAATATAGTTTTGCTCCAGAAAAATTGAACACTTATGTTGTAGAAATTTACAACTGCTAAGTTCTTCTGGTTCGGTTGAAGAGAATGCAAGCGCAGAATAGAACATGCCGTCTTCACACCCAACAACATGCTTTTGAGGCCCGAATAGAAGTGATTCATACACAACAAGAGTTACCGAAAGTCTAAAGTTGGAGCTTCTGTGTATGGAGGAGTTCTCCTTATTGGGGTAAAGGCGGATACTTTAATATTTCATTAGGATGTTGAGTTGGGCTCCTCCATACACAGAAGCTCCTACTTCAGACTTTCGGTAACTCTTGCTGTGTATGAATCACTTCTATCCGGACCTCAAAAGCATGATGTTGGGTGTGAAGATGACATGTTCTATTCTGCGCTTGCATTCTGTTCAACCGAACCAGAAGAACTTACCAGTTGTAAATTTCTACAACATAAGTGTTCAATTTTTCTGAAGCAAAACTATATTTGCAAGTGATTATTCTGTTACATCTTTTCTTTATTCTCTAATTTTAGGTGCAAAGATCTCAACCTTTTTGAGGGGCCCTCATCTAACCCCTTATGGGTAAATAGTTTATATATATGTTCAAGTGTTATTTTTTTTTTGTTGCTTTTAAAACTCGATTTATTTATGTCTCTGGGTGTAGATTCTCTTCATTAAAAAATGACCTTAAAGAGAGACAACCCTCTCTCTTACTTTGGAATGAAACATTAATTACAATATCGAAGGTGAGCTGTTGATTTGTTCAGAGTTAGTGACTCTCCCCTCTTCTTAAAATGAGCAAACTTTCCTCCTGAAATATATCCCTATTATTGTATAAGTTGAAAACAAAACTTTTGTATTGCTAAATGATATTTCCTTGTTGAGTACTCATACCGATGCGGTGTGGGAAATGTTAACAGAGGTATGTTGATCTTTTTATGTTACATGCGATTATGATATGCTAACTGTTTTTTTTTTCTTTTTTTTTTGCATGGTTAATTAGGGAAATGATGTTGGATATTTTGTTGATTGTAACTTTAGGCCTACAAATTCAATGATTCAATCAATACTGGTAAGATCACAATGTTGAAGTGTTATTACAAGTTCTTGCTCTATTTGATTTTTAGGCATGTTTTGTTAACTCAATGAAATCATGCATTTGATTTACCCACTAACGAAAAATGAAAGAAAGAAGAAAAGGAAAAAAGCGAAGATGGGTCTTAAGGGGCCCTTAATACCCAAGGAGAAAGAGGAGGATAAGAACGAAGACAGAGACGACGAGAAGAATGAGGAGAAAGACGATGAGAAGACTGAGGAGAAAGATGATGAGAAGGCCAAGGAGAAAGATGATGAGAAGGTCGAGGAGAAAGATGAGAATATACAGGAGAAAGCAATTATATCTGTAAGTGTAAATTGCTGGAATGATTTCATGTTTTGTTGGAAAATGCTGCCCCTCAAACCGGTTTCTCTCAGGGCAACCGTGGCAACTTGAAAATGAGGCATATTGATTTTTTCGGACGATCTATCCATATTATCCACCAAAAACATGATGGCCCCTGCGCCCTTATTGCAATATGTAAGTGAAATTGGATTTACTTTCAATTTTTGTATTTTATTTTACTTCCTCATGATTTGGATTTATTCTGTTTTCACCACAGGCAATGTGCTACTGCTCAAGGGGGACATCTTTTTTGGAGCATGTGAAACTGTGGTTTCAATCGATTATCTACTTGACCTTGTCTACTCTCTTATAAGTGAAAGTGCGAAAATGCAGGTTCGCAACTATTGCAAACTCGATTTTGGTTGCATTCATGGCCTTCAGCCTAAGGTTGTGGATATACATATATATTTTTTCAATAGGCCCATTATCCTGAAATACAAAGAATGATATGGGATGAGGCACCGACACAGGCCAAAGGGTTTGATGTGGACATTATCTTCACAAGGTGATTTTAGGCTGGCTGTGGTGTTCTGATATTTGCAATTTTAGCCTAGCTTTCCATATTGGTTCTGTCTCTTTGCTTTGTTGTTTAGGCTGGCTGCTGGTGTTCTGATATTTGCAATTTTCACACTGCAAGACGGATGGTTTTACGAAGACACCAGAGTGGTTACTACTTGATTGCTTGGATCTCAATGTTCGACATGGTTGGGTTGCTACTAGGGTAAGCAAGTTTATCATGGGCATTGATTATGTTGTTAGTGCAAATTTTCTAATTCAGTGCGCAATCATTTTATATGACGTGGCCAACTAATATCATGATACTAATTATTAGGATTTGTTGCCTGGACCCGAAGTATCATTGGAAACTCTTAGTCTGGCGGCTTGTGAACCTGATTTTCCTCATGGTTAGTTTTATTTTTCAGCTACACAATGTTTGACCAAACTTTTTCATTGCTGCTATTGCTTTTGTTCAATGTTTTTAGCGGAGACGATCCAGAAGTTTCTAAGAGGAAATCAACTTACTCCCACCGGGTAAATTATCTAATTGTCCTTTTTATATGTGCAGTCTGTTCTAGTTGGAAACTTTTTGTTGTTTGCCACTTGTTAACATTTTAAATAACCATGTGCGAATGCTACAGCTTGGTTTCCCTACATGAAGACCTTGTTGAAAACGTTCCATGCATTATGTACTGGCACTATCATTACAATACTATAGTTAAGGTGAGGCTCAACATTTGTTATATTTTATTACAGTTAAGGGCTATGCTTAGCTGCCTTCTTTTTTCCCTTTTTGACCCGTTTTGATCTTATGCAGTTCAATGGAGTTGTTTGTACATTCTTTAGTCACTAATTCAATTTATTTAAGAACTAATGCATTTTGGCAGACGCTTGAGGTATGCTATTCTGTATTTTTCATAATTTCTTTGTATGATTGAGATGGAACTTGTGTCCATTCTTAGCTGTGGCTTGTTAGGTCAATGGTGGCGGAGTATATTTGGACAGCAACTTCACACCTTTATAAGGGGCTTGATGCAGCTCCTTTGGTATGTATAACTTGGACCAAAAAATAAATCATTTACTATGTATGCAAAATCAAATATATTTGTACTTGCTATGCTTTGTTGTCATCGTGTAATCTTTTCCTTTTCCATTTCTATCTGTGATATACGTATACTGTAGACATCCAAATACAATTTACTCCTCATATACATGAAATTTTGCTCCCTTGCAAGTCGTGTTGCCTTTGTTCTTGTTCATTATTATTTTACAATTGATGGTAGCTTGCATTTTGTCTTGTTCATTGTTATATTATACTGAGGATTAAGTTGTGTACTGTGTGCTCTTTCTTAGGGGTTCTCTCTCTGCTCCTGAAACAAGTACTTCCGAAGCATCTACCTCATTAATGAAGCAAGATTCATAAGGGATTACATCACATGGTGACGGATTGTGTTTGAACCGCAACTTTACTTGTATTCGGCACCCGATGCAGCTCCTTTGGTATGTATGCTTAACATTGACTATAAAATGAATCTTTTGATGCTTTGTTACATTTTTTTACTGGTTGCTGAAATCAAATATATCTGTAACGACAATGACTTTGTTCTCATTTTTTACTATGTTACCATCACATTTGATTTATAACAAGTCTTTTTTTTTCATTTCTATTTCTACAGGTGATATTTGTATGCTATATACATACTATTACCGTATACATGAAATCTTATCTTTTTTGTAAGTCATGTTGGTTGTTTGAAAGTGCATGTTACATTGAAGAAAATTAGTGCACAGTCGGTTGTGGTAATAAGCAATGCATTGTGCCCTCATTGTTGTATTATGCGAAGGCTGATTTTTTTTTCAGAGATAATGTTCATGGCTCTCATGTTCCTAAAACATGGACTCCAGGATCATGTGCCTGTTGTATGAGACCATACACAGAAGAGGATATATCACATGAAAAGTGTGTGTCTGGTCCTCAAATTGTTCTTGAAACATGGGAAATATCACTCAAGGAGTTTGTTCAAATTCCTGGTAATAGGTTCTCTGCATTAAGAACATTATTTGCTGATGGTACTTCCTTGGATGTTGTTGATACAACAAAGATTGAGAGAGTTCTTGGACTTGATTTGTTGAAGATATTTTTTTTTCTCATAAGGCGGGTAAAAGTTGGAATGAGAAGTTTGACTTGAATACTATAGTTGTCATTGATGGAGCTCATGCGGAAATCCTCGCTACTTATTGTGACAAGTTCTGTGAAGAGGCAACACTGAATGACTTCTTCAGTTACATTTGTACGATTGTTGAGCTATTTAAAATATAAGGGTTTGGTCTCCCAGCATTCTTCAACCGGTTGATCAATAACTTGTCAAACCCTCCCAGCAGACCTTCAGTGTGTAGCCAACATCAACTGTAGGGCTTCCGATATCTTCTTAATGGCTTCTGGGATTGTGTATTGACTACCACGGCACTGAGGTCCTCTTTGGCTAGAGCTGGATTATTTACAGGAATTCATAAGATACGACGTTTCGCCCCAGAGGATGTGAGATGTGCTCTGAGAGGTGTATTGTCAAGTACAGATCCACCTAAGATTACATCTGATTGGAGAGATTCAATTGCTGAAAGAGGACATCCAGTCCTCAAAAAGGTTTTACGGTACATTCCTGACGATTCAGATCAAAACAACAAAAAAGCTAAAGAGGGAGAAGATTCGGATAAGAAGATTGGGCTTTATTAACCTGATGTTGGCAGCTTGTCTGTTTTTCCAAGACAAGTAAATGAACATGGAAAGTCTAAGGCAAATATTTTATTTCCTGTTTTCTGTTTGTTTCGCTGATTTTCATACCATAATTACTACTGTGAAGGTGGATCCAGGATTAGAATTGCAACCAGAGGATAAAGAAGATTTTCACAGGATTGGGCCACTTTTTTTCACAAACTTCCAAAGTGGCCCAATCCTGGATCCACCTTCACAGCAGTAATTCTGGTATGAAAATCAGTGAAACAAACAGAAAACAAGAAATAAAATATTCACCTTAGACTTTCCATGTTCATTTACTTGTCTTTGAAAAACAGACAAGCTGTCAACATTAGGTTCATAAAGCCCAAACTTCCTATCTGGATCTTCAATCTTTTAGCACTTTTGTTGTTTTGATCTGCATCGCCAGGAATGTACCATAAAACCTATTTGAGGACTGGATGTCCTCTTTCAGCAATTGAAATCTCTCCAATCAGATGTAATCTTAGATGGATCTGTACTTGACAATACACCTCTCATAGCACGTCTCACTTCCTCCGGGGCGAAGCGCCGTATCTTATGAATTCCTCTAAATAATCCAGTTCTAGCCGAAGAGGACCTCAGTGTCATGGTAGTCAATACACAATCCCAGAAGCCATTAAGACGATGTTGGAAGCCCTCTAGTTGATGTTGGCTACACACTGAAGGTCTGCTGGGAGGGTTTAACAAGTTAATGATCAACCGGTTGAAGAATGCTGGGAGACCAAACCCTTCTATTCTAAATAGCTCAACAATCGTACAAATGTAACTGAAGAAATCATTCAGTGTTGCCTCTTCACAGAACTTGTCACAATAAGTAGCGCGGATTTCCGCATGAGCTCCATCAATGACAACCATAGTATTCAAGTCAAACTTCCCATTCCAACTTTTCCCCGCCTTATAGAAAAAACAATATCTTTCTACAAATCAAGTCCAAGAACTCTCCCAATCTTTGTTGTATTAACATCCAAGAAAGTACCATCAACAAATAATGTTCTTAATGTAGAGAACCTATTACAGGGAATCTGAACAAACTCTTTGAGTGATATTTCCATTTTTCAAGAACAATTTAAGGACCAGGCACACACTTTTCATGTGATATATCATCTTCTGTGTATGGTCTCATACAACAGGCACATAATCCTAGAGTCTATGTTTTATGAAAATGAGAGCCATGAACATTATCTCTCTGGAAAAAAAAATAAAAAAATCAGCCTTCGCATAATACAATAATGAGGGCAAAATGCATTGCTATTGCCACAACCGAGTGTGCACTAATTTTCTTCAATGTAACATGCACTTTCAAACAACCAACATGACTTGCAAGAAAGATAAGATTTCATGTATATGGTAATAGCATATCTCAAGCGTCTGCCAAAATGCATTAGTTCTTAAATAATTTGAATTAGTGACTAAAGAATGTACAACTCCATTGACCTACATAAGATCAAAACGGGTCAAAAAAAGGAAAAAAGAAGGCAACTAAGCATAGCCCCTAACGGATAAAATACAGTAAATGTTGAGTCTCACCTTAACTATAGTATTGTAATAATAGTGCAGTACATAATGCATGGAACGTTTTCAACAAGGTCTTCATGTAGGAAACCAAGTTGTAGCATTCGCACATGGTTATTTAAAATGTTAGCAAGTGACAAACAACAAAAAGTTTCCAATCAGAGCAGAATCAGAGCAGACTGCACATAGAAAAAGGACAATTAGATAATTTACCCGGTGTGAGTAAGTTGATTTCCCCTTAGAAACTTCTGAATCGTCTCCGCTAAAAACATTGAACAAAAGCAATAGCAGCAATGAAAAAGTTTGGTCAAACAATGTGTAGCTGAAAAATAAAACTAACCATGAGGAAAATCAAGTTCACAAGCCGCCAGACTAAGAGTTTCCAATGATACTTCGGGTCCAGGCAACAAATCCTAATAATTAGTATCATGATATTAGTTGGTCACGTCATATAAAATGCTTGCGCACTGAATTAGAAAATTTGCACTAACAACATAATCAATGCCCATGATAAACTTGCTTACCCTAGTAGCAACCTAACCATGTCGAACATTGAGATCCAAGCAATCAAAAAGTAACCACTCTGGTGTCTTTTAAAACCATCCGTCCTGCAGTGTGAAAATTGCAAATATCATAACACCAGCAGCCAACCTAAACAACAAAGCAAAGAGACAGAACCAATATGGAAAGCTAGAACTACAATCACCTTGTGAATATAATGTCCACATCAAACCCTTTGGCCAATGTCGGTGCCACATCCCATATCATTCTTTGTATTTCAGGATAATGGGCCTATTGAAAAAATATATATGTATATCCACAACCTTAGGCTAAAGACCATGAATGCAACCAAAATCGAGTTTGCAATAGCTGCGAACCTGCATTTTCGCACTTCCGCTTATAAGAGAGTAAGACAAGGTCAAGTAGATAATCGATTGAAACCACAGTTTCACATGCTTCAAAAAAGATGTCCCCCTTAAGCAGTAGCACATTGTCATTGTCTGTGGTTTCACTAGAATAAA